GCAGGAGCAGCAAGGGGCCTCAGGAGAAACGTGCTCAGCCAGACCCCGAGCACGGGGCAAGGAGGTGCTCAGCTCCTGTGGGCCAGGGGTCCCGGCCACCGTCAGCACCCGTCTGTCCTCGGGAGAGCCCATGGCCCCGCGCTCCCGTCCCTCCCAGCCGCCGCAATGGGGCAAACGGCACTTCCCAGTAGCTGCTATGGCAAACGTTGGATGCTGCCATCACAGCTCAACTGAGGATCCATTTTTCCCCAGAAATACACAGATCAAAGCGGTTTTTTGTCATACAGACTAGTTATCAACAAGAATTTTCCTTAAAACAAGATTTAAAAACCCCTTTTCCCTCTGAGGGAAAGCAGTGAGAGCAAGGAACCAGCACACTTGCTCCTCTCTTACCTGCCCAGGGAGCTCCAGGCACCCGCCCTGGGCGGAGGCTGGCACCTCCCCACACGGCTCCCTCAAATGTTTTCATTCAATTAGATCATTTAGGTGGCCCCATGCTTCACTGAGCATTAATTACACCTAATTGTGCCTGGCTACTGAACAGCAGATAAGCAGCACTACCTGAATGTTGTAACTCAGCGGGCAGGTTGCCTTGCTGGAAATGGCTGGGGTGCATTTCCGGCACCCGTGTTCGGCTCGCACTCCGCTGCGGTGACTCCGGCCCGGAGGACTGCCGCGGGCAGCCCTCGGGACGCTGGTCTTGGCGCACAGCGTGCAGAGCACGGCCTACAAAGGAAGCACATGCACCGATTGTGCTCCGCTCCACCCTGTCGCCGATGCCACAAGGGCCAAACCAGCTGACAAAAACACGTGTAGCAGCTAATTTAACAACACTCATTTTTCTCCTTCAGGGGAAGAAAAGAGAAACACGCACAGACAGCAGACAGTCAAAAGATTACACAACCAGGTTACAAAATGAAGCACGATTATATTTTATTCTGGCACCCCCATTCATCCCCACACGTGGAGCGCGTGCCCTTGTACGAAAGCACTTGCTGCTGCATGGAGCAGATGCCTCTGGCCAGGGGCTGCCCAGAAGGATGATAGGTGAAGAACCACGATTTCAATGGAAATAGCCATTTGTGCCATGATCAGATTTGGAGAAACGGCTTGGCAGTGCCACCTGCCTGTGTTATTGCTGCTTGACGCTAACAGGGCTCAGGTCAGGAGGGGTTTTACAAATGCGAGCCCACCTGGGCTCCTATTAAGGCTTAACTGCTGAGGTTCAATGCTACCACTTTCTGTACATACACAACACAGCTAAATGCCAATTAAAAACTCCATACGCACAACTACTCCACAGACAACACCACAACAGAGAAACAATTTGACAGTTGGGGCCACAGGGCAACCTGGGTGGGAAAAAAGCACTTCTGAAGGTACAAGTAGCTATAACAGCATTTATTGCCACATCGCCACACTCGCTATAAAATACAACCCTTTCCCCCCTGCTCCGTAAGTGTACTGTGACTGATAAAATAAATCAGCAGCACAAACTGGTGGAAGAAACTGGTGGGCACCCATGGGCCAAGTGCATCCCCGTTGTGCCCAGGGAGCAGGGGCTCGGAGGGGCTCCTGCCAGCCACCCCCCGGGGGGGGGGCTTTGGGGC